AAAAAAAAGTGATCGAAATAATCTATTCTGCCTTTTTTTATATTTTCTTTAAATAAACAAAAAAAAAGAAGAAGAAGAAGACGAAAAAGAAATAAAGAAACACAATAATATAATACAAATGAAAATTTTAAGAAGATATTTGATGAAGTAAATTAATTCGATTAGGTGATGTTGAGATAAATTGTTCCAAAAATTTTAATTGAGATGGTTTATAAATAGTTAATAATGAAAAAGCATCTTTGATTTTATACCAATGTCTTTGTCGATTAATTAATCTTTTATCATCCCAATCATCATATTCTTCTTCAAAATAAACAACAAATACGGTTGTTCGATGTTTTCTTTCACGATTTTCAAAAACACCTAATTCACGAAGAATACGACCTTTAACACCAGCTTCTTCATATAACTCTCGATGAGCTGCATCTATCGTACTTTCATTGGGTTCAATTCCACCACCTGGAAATATCCATGATGATTTATCACGATGAGATGTTATCAATAAAACCTAGAATATATAGAAAAATAAAAAAATAAGATTAAAATATTTTCTTACTTCATCTTCATGTTGGTTTCGTACACAAATACAGGCTGCTCTTTGTCGATAACCATCATTATCGAAAAATCGCATTTTGTTATTATCTTTTTCCGAAGGATTACCAGTCATTTTTAATTCGACAACAACAAAAAAAAGAAGCAAAAACAAAAATTTTTATATATAAATGAAAGACTCAATCCAAAAGAGAAACTGGCAAATACAAAAGAACAAAAAAAGAAAAACAAAATCACCAAAAGATAAACACTAGACTAGACAATATCAATACAATTTTGTTAAATGAAATCAGTTCGAAAATTAAAACATTTTCTTGAAACAAATCTTTGTCGATTATAATCAAGATTATTTAATTTCAATGATTTTATATAACGACAAACGAAAATATTCGTCATTGCCTCATCAGACTAAATTCTTATCTAAAAATTTCAAAGAATTTATTCGATGACATTTTTACATATACAAATAAATAACTAAACAATCGACAAAAAAATCAATTCACTTTTTTTTTTCTATGGTTATTTAAACAATTCAATCATTTACATTTTTAAATAGATGTCACTGCTTTTCGTTTTTCTTCTTCTTGTCTTACAGACTGAAACTTACTTTTTCAATTGTACCGCAAAAGATAAGCAAATCAATAAATTATAAAGTTGAGTATCGTAATAAAAAAAAAGAAAAGGTAATAAAATTCATCAAGGTATATATATGTGTATGTATAAAACTAATAAAAAAATTCTTTCTTCGATTCGATAAAGAAAATAAAAAAATGAAATTGTTTCTTTTTTTGATTATTTATTTTAATAAATATAAGTAATAGAAATGTTCTGCGTATAATGATCGATGACTTGTTTGAAGAAGCAAAGAAAAACACCGAGTCAAAGGTCGATCGGGGCTTTTTTTTACGCCTTATTTTTCCGTTGACTTCGTCTACATACGGCACATTTTTTTGTCTTATTCGCTATTTTATCAGTGATGTCAAGAAACGACTATAAAAGAAGGAGAAAGAGCGCAATCATGACGATCGTTGTTTTTCGACAGAAGAAGTAATCATAATAATAATAATAATAATAATAAATATTCAATCTTTAGCAACTGTTGTGAATAACAAATCTTATGTGTATATAAATAGAAAATTTGCTTGTTAATAAACATTATGTTTGATTATCGATGCAAAAAATACACTAGTTTTTTTTGTTTGATCTAATTAAATGAATATTTCTATCACACTTAAAATCCACATAGAAATAAAGACAAAACAAAAAAAGAAGAAAGGTCATATCACAAAAAAAATGAGGAGATCACAAAAGTTCTAAGGCATATAAAGATGAATAACAAGGAGGTAATGAATGTAAAGATGATGAACAAGAAAAAGAAGAATCTTCTTTTAAAGATTTTTTAAATAAAACAAGTTGTTGATCAACATGATGGATTTGTTGTTGATAATTCTCAAGTATTTGTTCACGTTGAATTAATTTACTTTTTAATAATGAAGTTTTTTCAAAAAAATTTTTTTCATTTTCATTATTTAAAACTAAAAATAAGACAAATTTTTGTTCTTATTTAATTAACAAAAAAAACAAGTCTAACTTACGACATGGAGTTGAAAGATTATTAGGTATTAAAATTTTTGATTTTGATGATGAAAGAAAATTATTAAACAAATGTTTAAATATTCGACAACTTTTATCTGACATTGAATAAAGTGCTGAATCTGTTGATTTTGATGAAATTATTTCATCGTTTTCGCGATTAGTTGATGATAATAAATCAAATGAATAACAGCGATCAAATTTTTCTCGTCGACGAATTCTATTTAAAAATATTTTACATTTAATTAGAAATTAGAAAAAAGAAAACAAATCTTCATGCTATTTTATCAGCAAATAATAGAAAAATGAAAACAACAAATATATATATATATATTCTAGGAATGACATATGGGAGGAAAAAACAATCAAGCTCAGCTTACAATTATATAATACAAAATATAAACAAATTTTTAATTTGGACGAACAACACTGGAATTATTTTTAAAAAAAAACATATTTTATAATATAATTAAAATACCTTTTAACAGATATATTTATTGGTTTGGATGTTTGTTGATCATTTGTTGTTGAAGAATTTAATGATGAAAGATTTTCAAGTAAGATTGGAGATGACCAACGTCGTTTTGCTGCACGAACAATATGTTGAATGATTTCACTTGGTTTAGTTTCATTAGTTATTAATGTTTCAGGATCAATTGGTCCATGACTTATGATGGGAGGTAATCGAGGCATTTGAGGATTGATTTCAACAGGTATTGAATCATATGAATTATTATCAAAAAACCATTCATACTAAAACAAAATTATTTATCTTATTAACTATAATTATGTCAAAAGAAAAAGACTTACATATAAAATAAATGATTCAACAATTCGAATTTTTTCTGGATTATCAACAAGATTGGATTGTAATGATGCTTTGGAATCCCATATTAATGTTGGTCCAAATATAATAGCTAAATTTCTTGCATCAATCTATTAAGAAAACAAAATAAAAATAAATTTTATTCTTTAAAAATAAAACAAACCTTATTTATTTCACATTTGGATGATACTCTTCGAAAATGTGCACATAAATATTTTAATGTTTCAAATCTATAATCATCTAATTGAACAAGAAGTCGTTTTAATTCAACTAAACGATCACAATGATTTTCAATTCGACTTGATTCAACACATAAACTACTCATCTCTAAAAAAGAAAATTGTCTTTAAAATAAAATAAATTTTCAAAAAACAAACTTGATGATAAAAGTGAATCAGGTAATTTAGCAAAGAATGTTTTTAATGTTGATGCAACAGCTTTAACATCATACCATTTTTCTGAATTGAAATCAATTTTTTCAGCACCTTTATCTAATTCATTAACAAGCCAATTGACTGCTGTTAAACCACCTGCATGTCGATAAATTCCTTGATAATTTATTCCACGTAATTCAACAAGACGTGTTAAAATTTCGACAACAATTGGAATATAACGTGATATTGATGATGTTTCACATTCTTCTAATTCAATACCAAAATTAACACCTTGTGAAAGTGTTCCAACACCTGTACTTGATGTTAAAGATTCTCCACTACTTTCATCATATATTTGTCCACTCATTTGACTTGTTAATAATGATGATGAAGACTTTAATGTTCGAAGACCTTTCTTTACAATTGATTTAACAAATGAACGACGTGGTGATGTTACATTAACATCATTTGGAGGTGAATTCGTTCCACTTATTGATGATATAGATTGTGCTGGTTGGGTTATAGCAGATTTTTGTGATTTACGAAAACGAAGACTTGGAGAACGTTTTAATGATGGACTTCGAAGAGATATTTTCGATTTTGAACTTGATTTACGTTGTTCAACATTTCTATATTAGAAAAACAATAATTTCAAACAAGTAACGCTCTTCCGAGGACTCGCTTAGCTCTTTCTCGTAGAAATTCATTCTCTTCACATTTACTGGAAAAACAAATAAAAAACGTGAAAAACTGGTTTTCAATGTTTTTTTGATCTTTCACCCACCCCTAGCCATGGTCACCCAACAGACCTCAGATTCGAACTCCCCGCATCGAAATATCTCGAGAAATGTCTTTTCCTGAAAATCGATTTTCGATGTTTTTTTGACCTTTCACCCACACCCATCCACTCCTAACCATGGCCACCCAACAGATCTCAAATTCGAACTACCCGTATCGAAATACCTCTAGAAATGTCTTTTCCTGAAAACTGGTTTTCGATGTTTTTTTGACCCTGCGGACATACAAGCAAGCAATCAATCAGACAATTTATGTTTTCTGGACTCTTCTCTAGGAGAAAGAGAATAACAAATTTGGTTAAAATTTCTTACTCGTGTTCATGATGATGATTAGGTGGTATTGGTGGTAATGATCTTGTATTAATTCTTTGATTATTTTCTTTAATATTGGTTGTATTTTGTTGATTATCTTGTCCAGATTCTGATTGTAAACAATTTTCATTAATAACATCTAACCATTCATTTAACGATTGTATATCTGGTGCTTGAAATAAAAATTCACTTTGATTTGATGTTGTTAATTTAAAAACACGTGGTTTTTTAATATAATCACTTGCTAATTCAACATCAGCATTTTCAAGATTTATTGGAAATGAATCACATGAAAGTGGAATTAATAATCCATGTTTTTTTTCTTTTCCAAGAAATAAAGCTCCACGTCGAAGTACAGCCCATGCTCCACGCCATGAACGATCAGCTGCTCGTCGACCTTCTTTTAAAACAGTTTTACAATAAAGTATGCCTTCTTTTGATGCTTCTAAATTATCAGTTAATGTTGTTAATGGAATTGATTCACGTGTATTTGATGTTGTTCCATCAAGTGTTGAACCATCAAAAAATGAACCTGATTTTGATCGACCACCCGATGATGATTGAGGAGATAATGGGGATTGAGATAAAGATGGACGATGATCATTCTCATGTGTATTTTCACCAAAAAAATGTTTTAATTTTTTAATTGCTTGTGTTTGATGATGAGATGAACTTCTAGAAAAAGAAAATTTATTATTTTTGTTTTGTTCGATGAATTCTAATTTAACCTTAATTTTTGTTCTTGTAACATATCGTAAGTATTTGCAGGTCTTGCTAGAGATTGAGTATTAAAATTTGTTGGAATATAACCACCACGATTTGGAGGTAAACGTTGATCATTATTCATTAAATACGATGGTTGACGTTGTTTCATATCTTGTTCGGATGTTGGAGGACTTCCAAATTGTGTTACTAGAATTAAAAAAATTCTTTGAAATATTTTTTGTATAGGAAATATTTTACCGAAATCTGGTTGTTCACTTTGATTATTTGATCGAACAGCACTTATATAGGATTGTTGACGAATTAAATTAACGCCATTACGAGATGCGGAATTATTTGAATAATTTTCTAATAAATATCTTGAACTAAATATAATAGAAAATAGATTTTTTATAATAAAAAACCAAATTTGTCTAATTTACCTATCAGTTGATGCTAATGGATTATAATGAGAAGATGGTGTAGATTGAGATGGATTTGTTCGTACTTGTTGAATCATATAACGTGGATCAAAATTAAATTCAATACTATTTAATTCACCGACTAAAAAGAAATTATAGAATGGAAAAACTCCGCCTATTTATATGATTTTTTTCTGTAGGTGACATATGGAAATTGTATTCATAGAATAGGTTAGAAAGTTTAGTGCAAAACATTGTAGCCGAAAAAAGTCATGAAGTTTACGATGAAAAAAAGCAGATTTCATATGTGAAACTTATTTATAGTAAATCATGTTTCTATTTTAAGGAAATGAAAATCAAAAAATAAATCATATAATAACCTCTTGGAATAGGTAATGAAGAAGATAAATCCATTGAAGATTGTCTTGTTGTTGGTTTAAGTATTTTAAATTGTGGTTGAGAATCATAAAATTGATTTTGATTTGTATCATAAGTAAAATTTTCTTGTAAATTTAAATTATCATGTGCAGGTGGTGATGTTGGAAGTTTCGATTTTAATCGTGCAAATTTATCTGGATCAATATCTTCAAAATGTGATGCACGTTCCATAACAGATTCAACATCAGCAACAGCTGTTAAACGATTCCATTCAGTTTCATATTTTTTCTTTTCAGAATATTTTTTTGTTTTGGAATCACGCTGAGAATCATGAACAATATTTTCCACAGTACCTGTTTCAAATTGTTTTCGACGAAAATTAACAAATTCAGTTTTCATATCATTTTCATTTATTGGTGATTTTTCATTTGAGGCTACTTGAGATGGTGTTTCAGTTGTTTGAGAATCTGATGAAGGAGATTTTAATTCTTCATGAGATTCAATCATTGGTGGTGAATAAAGATTTGTTCGTGACCATTCTTCTGCTGATGGAACATTTGCGATTGGAAAACGATTTGATGGATTATTTACATAAGTATTGAGTGGGGCATTTATTACAGGAATACCTAAGAGAGAAAGAAAATGAATTAATCATGAATTTGTTTTTGTCTAATAAAAAAAGTAAACTACGATTAGAACTAAAACTATTGTTAGAAATAATTTTTTTTCTATTTTAGGAATGTTTTTATTTGTTAATTAGTATTTATTTTCTATTAATTTTCGTAGCACAGACCTATTCATGCAAAATTTTGTGGTTGAATAACTTTTCGTTTAATAATTAGATTCTATTTCTATCTTGAGAAACAAAAATTTTTTCTTTTTCAATTTTCAATAAATAAATCTCTTAATATCTAAAATAATATTATTTATATTTAGTAATTCTGAGAATAGTATCGCCTTTTTCTTTTCTTTTCTTTTATTAGAAAAATGAAACAAACTTTGTCTTGGAGGAACAACAGGTGGTCGAAGAATATTTGGTGGTAAGCTTAATCCAGTATTTGGATTTAAATAATTTCTTTGTTCAGGCGGTTGATTAAAATTTATTTGAAAAGATGGTGCTCGTTTATAATCATGTGGAATATAATCATTATGATATGGAGACTCGTAATAAGCAGCTGTTGGATCTCCTTTACTTTGTTGAGACTGTTGTTGTTGTGGTGGAGGTGGAAGTGGAGGTGGAGGTGTAGGCGATGGTTCTTGTTGTTTTGTTGAATCTAAAGCTCGATGTACAGAATCAATATAATTTGAAAAAGCATTTTGTTGTTGTTGTGGTGTTGCTGATGATGTCGGTGCTGTTGGTGGAGGAAAATAAATTCCAATTTGAGCAAGTTCTTCTTGTGTTCGACCTTGAGCTAAATTAATTTGTAAATTTCTTAATTTTTGTTCAATTGTATTATTAGACATGATTGGTGTTGATGGACGATATGATGTTGTATGAGAATATTGAATTGGTTTTAATCGTGTTTCATTTGTATTTAGATTTTGATAAAGATTTTCTGAACAATTCTTTTATTAAGAAAAAAAGAAAACGAAATAATTAATAGAAGAATAATAAGTATAAGAATAATAATAATAAGAAAAAAAAAATAGATACATACAACTGTGCGAGTATCATCTTCTTTTGGTATTATATTGAGAATAAGATCTGTGGGACTAGAAGAGAAGAAAAAAAAAGAAGGAAAGGGTTAACCTTTTCCTCTAGAAAATAAGTTGGCAAAGAAAAACTAACGCATTCTGAATCAAGGCAATAACTTGTGAATAAGTTTTTCCATTAATTGATTGATCATTAACAGTTAAGATTTGATCACCTTGTCTTAAACCAGCTGCATATGCTGGACCATCAGGTCGAACTTCTTTAACAAAAATTGTATCCATTGATTGAAGATTTTGATTAGGATTAGTTGACACTGTTGTTCCATCGTCTTGGATATTATCTGTAACAAAAACAGATCTTCTCTTGTAACATAGAATATCTCTCATCAATCAATAAAGAAAGGAAAGGAAAGAAAAAAAAAGGAAATATCGAAGAAATATATTCTTTTCCTTTCCTTTCTTTCCTTTGATTTTTCCTACTTACCGTTTCCGACAGTTTTTATAGTAGAAGATGATAATGATGACGACGATCGTTGTTGTTCTCCTTGATGATGGATGCGACTACCCGATGATGATGATAAAATACCGGAAGAAACTATTGATGATGATGATGTTGTTCCTCCTCCTCCTCCTCCTCCCCCACCACCTTCCAATTGCTTTTGTTGATGTTCATCGATCACCACACTGTACGAAGCCTATGACATTACATAAAACATCTTAGAATTAACCTTCGACACTTCTAAATTTCTCGTCTCGAGGACAATTATTAATTCTATTATAGAAAATCAAATGATATTAGTCTGTCTCGATTAAGATAAGAGAAAACGTTCGAAAAACTTGTCTAAATAGTTAACAAAAAATATAAATAAATTTAAATTTTATTTATTCATTTTCTTTTGTCAAGTGCTTCAAAAACAAAGTCTATTGATTAAGAACAAAACAAAATTTACTCGTTTAGTTGATTTTTCTAATCTAAATAATTTATTTTCTTTTTATTAAGAAATATCTGATTTTTGATTATTTTTCTTTTTCAATCATAAAAGAATTTTACCCGTAAAATATCATTAACAGAAACAGATGGTGGATAAATAACAAAATGACGAAGTGTAAAACCAAAACCACCACCTGAATAATCACTTGACCGCGGAATAATTAATTTTTTGGTTTTTTTCATAATTAAATTTTTCTAGAAAAAATCATTTTAAGAAACAAAAAAAGAAGTTTATTATCTGGTTATTTACTTGTAAAAAAATCGAGAACGAGAAAGATATGGATTATGCATTGTTATTTGTATTGATGATGATGTTTTTCTGAAACAAAGAGGAAAAAACACTGTTCTATTTATCGATTCATCCATATTCTTCCTTCTTTTATCGATATTATTCTGAGACAAGAAAAAAAAAGAAGAAGAAGGAAAGTGTCAAAATACAAAATAAACGACAGTATACATACTAGTTAATCTTTATATTCCATCCAACTCATTTTCATATATATTAGAGAAAAATTGTTTTGATTTTATTTATTTTATAATCATAAAAATATTATTAAATTTTAAACTTCAGAGAAAAAAAACATATTTTCATCTATTTTATAATGAAATGTCTAGAAAAAAAAATTTCTCTTTTCTTTTTTATTATTAAAAATCAAATCTATTGAGTATTGAAAGTAAATTTTCTTTCATCGAAATCATATTTCTATTAAAAGAAAAAATTAACCTTGAATACACATGTCAATACCGAATCCTGTTATTTCTCTATAGACAACGAGTGTATCATCTGTATATAGATGATCATAGGACATAATTGAATGCAGATACATATATTCTGTAAGAATGCAGCAAATTATTAGTTGGTTACGACGCGTTATCCATATGGTTATTTATTTATCTAACTAGTTTGAACTTATTATTATATAAAATAATAAATCAGACAAACTGTATTTGTTCAAGCTTAGGTAAAAGAAAGTCAATTATAGGTAATAGTAATCAAGGGTAAAAGAAAAAAAGAAATCGATTTTATTTTATAGAAGTGTATAAGTATATATATATACTTTTATGAATATTATATTTAGAAAAAAAGAAAAGTTATGTGAATATGGACGAAAGAATTACCATAAAATGACATTCGATGTCGAACCTTTTCTTTTACCATCAATAAAATAAGAATAGACAGACAGACAGAAATATGTACCTTCAGGAATATAAAAATACATACATCACAGACACAAAAAAAAGAACAAGAAAAATGGTCAAATAATGTCTGTCTATTTCCGTTGGGCAAAAGGTTACCTATTATAGTCACATACAAGATTAATTCATTTATATATTATACATTTCGATGTAATTAGAAACGATTTCTATTAAAGACGAAAATCGTTTAACAAGGACAAGCAATAAAATCTTTTTTTTACAATTTTTATTCTAATCAATCACAGAAAGAAAGAATTGGAATGAATATATATATGTCTACCTAATCAAAGGAGACTAATAGAAAAAAAATCATGCTGTTAAATAAAAAGAAAAGAAGCATTTTTCTAGTTTGTCCTTCAATAGTTTAATAGAATTGTAAAATATGACGAAGAAGACTAACTTACTTCTTTTTTTTAATTAATAAAAATAACAATCGAAAAGTTTTGTTATTATTTATGAATCTCTTACCTGTTCAATCTCTTTCTTTAATCATATATATATATGTAGTCTCATTTGATTTCAATAATAGAAGAATTGCATCATAGGTTGATTGAAGCACAAAAAGAAGGGGGAGTAGACAGTCTCTCGTCTGATTACATGTTTTTTAACGTACGATGGAAAGATTAGACTTATTCACATAAACAGAAGCATAAAAAAAATCAATTAGTTCTTTTCATTCATCAATCTCATCTTATAACTTAAGAGTGTGTAAAACTTAATGGACGATAAACAGATTTAACCTGTTTAAACGTCAAAAAAAAAGAACATTCAAATCGATGACACACAATCATCATCACTTATCGATTACGATGACTGACCATTTAAATGTCTTTTTCTTTTCTGTTTTACATCATAACACTCAATAGCTTTGTCATATTGTGATATAATAGAAAGAGAACACGAATTGGTATATGAGATGACTTTTAAATATATGCATGCGTCCTTGGATATGTCTTATTTGTAAATTATTAATTAAAGATATAATTAAGTCGTCAAATAAGCATGAATAAGAAATACGTTGTTGATCTAATAATTGTACTCACTAGATTTCTATTTGCAAAGATAAATAAAAAGGCAATCAGTTAGTATATACTGTTTATGGATAAATGAGAGTTGGTTTTGTTTGGTGTTTCTAGTTTAAGAAGGACGTGTCAATGATAATGTCTTCTTTCCTACTGTCTCCTATCCTTTTCTTTTCTTGTTGTTATCGGCATCCTTCTTCTTCTTCTTCTTTTTTTTAGCAAACACCATCAACATCCATCCATTGCCGTTTAGATCTATGTTTGTTGTTGTTGTTCTATACAACAATTTTTCTTCTTATAGATCGATAAAGAATGAAAGAAAAGAAAAAAACGAACGAAAGAAAGAAAGAAAGAAACATGTCATATATATATAAGATATACAGACAAGCGAGATACATTATATTGATGAAGAGAAAGAAAACCATCAAGTGGTCTTTGTACATACTCGAAAGAATACAATAGATTACTTGTGTATGCATCAATGCTTTTTCTCGAAAGAAAAAAAAAAGTCATCTTATGAGAATTTAACAGATTGCTTCTCTCTACACACATAATGACAGATATAAATCAAGTTTTTCATACATATTTCATATAAGATGTAAAAGTCTATCGTAGACATGTTTACCCATTATTTATATTTTTATCGTTAAAAACTAGATTTTTTTCTATTAGATATCAATTAGAATTTAACATATATCTTAAAATAATAATACTGTTCAATTAATCATAGAAAAATATAAATAATTTCTCTATTTATTCGTAAATCTAACTGAATAAACTCTAATAGAAATAAAAGTTCAAATTATTTCAACGGTAGAAATATCGAAATTTGTCTATAGAAAATAATTCCTAGTCCAAATATAACATAAGAATTGAATTTATTTTCATCTATCATTTGTCTTAATCGTTATTCTCTTTCTCTAAAGCCCTGGATATCGATAATACTAATCGGTCTATAGAAGAAGAAAATACGATCTATATAAAGATATCGAAATAAATGTATTAACGTGATTATTCATATCTATTAACTGTTTGTGATCTATTCGTTGTTATTTTACTTCCAAATAATAATAATAATAAAAAGAAAAAACACAATGCCAAAAGTCAAAAGTTCAAAATCATCCAGTCGAAAAAGCAACGATCCAAAAGCACCTAAACGTCATCGTACAGCTTATATGTTATTTGCACTTGAAAAACGTAGTCAAATTAAAGTAATTAATATTATTTGTTTTTTAAAAAAACAATTTTCTTTTAACAATTTTTTAGAGTGAAAATCCTGGATTAACTGCAAAAGAAATTATGTCCGAATTAGGTGCACAATGGTCATCTTCAGATCCACAAGTAATTATATTTAATCATTACTTTATTTATTTATTTATTTTCTCGTATTAGACAAAACAACATTATCAAAAATTATCCGATGCTGAAAAATCTGAATATGTAGAAAAATCTACTGCTTATAAAAATGAGAAACAACATAATAAAGAAAATTCTAAAAAAGATAATAAACCAAATCAATCAATGGAAGTTAATTCATCACAATAAGAATTTATATTGATTTTATTTTGTTTTATTGTAAATTAATAATATATCTACTTTTTTCTTTTATATATTTGTATAGATACTTAGATTTATTTATTTATGGATCTTAGTCCATTTATATATATTCAAATAAAATTGTGAAAATATTATCTACTGAAAAAAATATTAACATTATATCCAAATGAGAAATTCATAAATAGATCTTATATTTGTATTAGATAGGAATCGTTAGATATAGACTATATTATCGTTTTTTTAGCTAAAGAGATCTGTCAGACAGTATCTGAATATATCTCTTATAAGATTGTTACATAAGTTCGCTGTTGTTTGATAAAAATCAAATGTCTTTTTTTCTGTTATATCTTATTTTTTTTGGTAGTTTTAGACATGAAAAAAGTCTGGAACAATGTCAATATCAGTAGCAATCGAATTAAGCTACATATTTTCATGTAAACAAATCAAATGATATAAATACAATATTAGAAAGAAAACGATAAACTTATGTGACAGTTAGACAAAAATTTCTATAACACATTTACATAGATTTCTACAGATAATCGATAACAAAATATATTCTCCTCGGAGAATTAATATACAGTATATATGGTCTAAATACAACATTTGACTGAATCATAATTCCTTCTTCATTTTTGATTAACTCTTATCTATTTCAACATAACAAAACGATAAATATTTTTCAAATTTTTGCTATTTGTAACAAATCAAGTATTTCATTTAATTATTAATACAAAATACTTTGATTGAAATGAATACACACATATAATATCAATTAAATTAGTAGATATAGATTTTTAAAGAACAATAGTTTATAGATTCATAGTCAATGCATTGCAATGATAGACTTTGTTAAGACAACAATATTTTTCACTTCATATAAAATATACTTTTAGTTGATATTTATTGTTAATAGAATTGAATCGATTTAAGAAAATGATTTTTCTATTTTAATTAATTTTTATTATTAAATTATTCAAATAAATTTCTCTTGAAATGATTTAAAATAAAATCGAATTGTTGAAATTTGTCAAATGAGAAAGTAACAATATTAGTTTAATGAATGATATTGTAAAATGAGATGATGATGATGTATTGTTTACATATATGTAAACATAATTTATTCAAGTGATATATGATCTTTTTGCTTTTTTAAATAACAATAATCATATTTAATGTCCTTATGTTCAATAGAAATAAACTAAATTTAATAATTGTCTAATTTGTCATTTAATTACTGTCAAATAAGATAATCTCTTGTGTCTATATAGAAATGAAATGATCAATAATAAAATATTTTTTCTTTCATAAAGAAATAAAAATGTGTGAGAGAAAGAGAAAAAAAGAAATCTTCAATTATAAAAGTAGGAGAAAAAAAAGAAAAAGAAATTTGATTGTCGTCATTCTCATTCAATATTGATTTAATGGAAAAAAAAACAACAAGCACACACGTTCTACCATCAGTTACGGAAATTAATCAAGTTTCCGTAGGTAGTATGTTGTCATTGTCGAGAATAAAATTGTTTTTCTAACTAATATGTGTTTATTCAACAAAACCGTGCATTTTTTTTCTATGAATGACAGTTATTGATTGTTCCATCTAGTCCTCCTCTTCTCTTCTCGTCTCTCTCTTATTTTACCTTTAGGTCAATTTTAAAATATAAAAAGGAAAAAACGATATCTATGAAAAAGATCAATATAGAGATGATGAGTGATCTGGTTTGTTGTTATTGAGTATGTGTATAGGTGGTAGGCGTTGTTTTTAATGATTGTCGCACGTTTAGTTCATTGGCATGTCATTATAATGATGCACTTAATGCTTATCGTGTCTATTGGTGTGTTTGATTCGATTATAAATCGAAGAAACAAAAAAAGAAGAGAGAAATTCAATGATTAAATGATAGAAAAAAAGAAGATGAAACGTTAATTTGTCCTTAAGGCACATTTGTCATTAATGAAATTATCTAACAAAATATTAAGAAACATTAAATAACGAAAAAGAATTTTATCATTTATTTAAATCATATTCGGTTAGAAAAAGAAAAAGTATATGTCAATATTCTTTTCGGGTCTTTTTTTTTTCTTTTGTTATAATGTTATGTATAGCAGTATCGAATATCTATTCGATTTATTAGTTATATCCTTTGTATCGTATTGAAAGAGAGTATGATCAATCGAATCGTTTTGATTATGATTGTTATATGTGATATATATAAAGGTGATCGATTATAATCTGTAATATTGGTGTAGAACATGTCGTTGTCGTTATATCGTTGTTGTGTGTGTCTCACCTGTAAAAGTGTTTATTTTCAATCGTACGATGATGACAGGCTCTCTTTTCTTTTTCTTGGTAAGATATCCATATACATGATTGATCCATTGAGTAAATTCGCCCCGACTATCACACATACGACAAGACGAAGAAGAAGAGAAAGAAAGAAAGAAAGAAAAAAATGCAAAAGAAAAAATTTGTTTGTATTATTCTAAAGATGACCGATATGAATAACGATTGTTCATTGACTTTAAATAAAGAATAGTTAATGTGGGAAAAAAAA